CACACACACACACACACACACACACACACACCGCTATTTCTCTCTCTCGCCGCTATCTTTTTTTTTTTTTTTTTCCCTACCTCCCAGGACATGCCCTCTCACCATGCACGTTATATCTGCCGAATGAATGTGAGAGACTCTCGCGCTCTCTGTCTTTCTGTCTCTCTCTCTGTCATACAGAAAGAAAGAGAGAGAGAGGGAGACAGGGAGAGAAAAAAAGAGAGACACGTACATTCTTCGGTGTTTTTTTTTTTGTTTTTTCCGTTTGCACCCAACATTTCTCACTCCTGCCTCCACCTTCGCTCCCCCTCCACAGCCACAGCGTAGCTGCGGCGGGTCCACTTGTACACACACACACACACACACACACACACACACACACACACACACACACACACACACATATATATATATATTTTTTTTTTGGGGGGGGCAAATACTTTGGAGTCACACCCGGCCTTCAGAATAGGTTACATTAGCAGTTCCCGAAACGGAGCAAAAAAGGGGACCCTAAATCTGCCAAGCGCCACTGCGGGTAATGACTGGCGCAGTTTTAGACCCCCACTAAACTTGCACACTTCGAAACTCACACCATGACATCGGCGCCACTTTGTCTTTTCTTGCCTATTTCAAACTAAAGATGTGCCACAGCCACAGTTTCCCCATTTATTTTTCTCTTGCCTGGTTTTCTGTCATGTCATGGAATATATCGTTTTTCCCTTTCACTACCTACCACTAGTCCGAAGGCTATACAGGGGACCCCTGCAAGCATAGCTTTCTACCTCTCTTCGGTTAAGGGGGTCGGTAGAGGGAGGTAACCGCATGTTGACCCCTTTGCCCTAGCGTTTAGGGTGCAGGGTTGGGGCCGCCAGTGGGGGCAGAGGGAAGTAACGGCATGTTTGCCCCTTTGCCCTAGCGTTTAGGGTGCAGGGTTGGGGCGGTCGGAGGGGGCCGGGCTAACACAAGGACCGAGCATTTGCCTGTAATGGTGCCTCCCTTTTCATCTTCCCCCGAACCCATCAAGTAAAAGTAGTGTCTAAAGCCAACACTCTCCCACACACCACACGCCTCCTAGTCGGGCTGCGTGTGGCGGGGCGCTGCTTGTTTCCTAATGTTAAGAAACAGTGGACTAGATACAACCCCTGTTTTTTGTCCTTTTCTCACTATCTGCCTATGGTTCGTTGGGTCGTTCTCTATGAGTCGGTGAAACTCCAACGAAACAGTCTGTCACGTCCCCTCATTTCTTGTCCTTTATGATTCTCCAGAAAGTTCTCAATGACAATGGAAAGTGCTACGTCTACAAAAAATTAAGAAAAAATAAAAAAAAGTACTACGTCTAGTGTGGGTAAGTGCTACGTAACTTCTCTGACTTGCCGGCGGAATAGTTACCGGACTGATGCCCCCCAGAATGGGATATGGAGCCGGGACCTTAGGGGCCGGTTTCAGGGGGGGAAAAAAAAAAAAAGATACATGGACAGAGTGATGGGTAGACAGATGGAAAGGATGGATGCATATTCCCAGAATCCTATGGCAGGTACAGAATGCTAGGCTGCTACCGTCTTCACCCGAATAGAACGCCTGGTCATTATAGCTGTATATTGTGCAACTTTCAGTCCAGGTACCGTGATAATTACTGGGTGTTCTATTCGGGGGAAGACGGTAGCAGTGTGTTGCTGGATGGTAGACGAGAGCGGAACTGACCTGAAAGAGGGTGATGTGCCAGGCATTCGCTGAGATCGTATGGAAAGTTTCACGAATTTTCTTCCAGTGTTCGATATCATTCTTGTCTTGAGCCATCAAGGCAAGGTTATTGGGATTGTTTCCACCTGTTATCGTCAGTTGCCCTCCTGGTCCAGCCCCCGATGGAGCACTTATACCCAACCCCGTCGACATTCTAGCAGTGACCCCTGTCATCTTTGCTACAGGGCTACCCTCTTCGCGAACGGCTGCGCTGTTCCTGCTCATTTTCTGCTCCCTCAGATAGAGAACCCTGTCAAAGTCCTCTGCAAAAGAAGTGAATGCGTATACGCAATTTAACATCATGAAAGAAGTCAAGAACATGATTATGACTCTCCAGTCCATGTGGATGAATGGTACCCCGTTAAACATTGGATAAACAGACCTGAGTTCAAAACCCTGATGGAATCAAATGAGTAAACTAACCCTGAATTACCTCAGGCCGGTCAGGCCGGTCGGTTCGACAATGATACCTCAAGATTGTTGCCATTTGAAAATAACAAAAAAAAGAAGAAGAGAGAAGCTCCTCGTAAGTCGTGACTCAACTTTCATGACTCTCTTCTTTTCTTTTTTTCCTTTTTTTTTTGAAGAAACTGCTCGAACGGCTGCTAGGGGTGCTGATAACAGCAGCCACCACCAGCACTGTCGGGGAGGCTCCATCTATTGGTGGGGAGCATCACCTGCTGGAAATCGGGTCCAGCGTCCCTGTAGAGTACCGTGTATACAGTGAGAGTAATGCGAACATGAGATGTCAGTGGGGGCTGGGCTATGAGAGTCCCAGCTTGCTGTCAAACCTGTTTTTAGTGGAACCATCGAAGATATTTCTATTCTAGCGTTGTTAATGCGGCCTGATTGACTGTCGATTACACTCCATCTACTTGTAGCATTATGCTGGAGCTGTTACCTCATTGTTGACTATAGCCTTGTGCTGCCGGAGTTGTAGTTGAACTTGTTCCTAGCTGTGTTTCTTGTCCCACATTGCTAAGTATTGTGTGGGATACGGTTAAGAGTGTTTGTTAGTGAGCTATTTGTGGTAGCGACCAGGCCTGGTAATTCGAGGTCCATACACCTGTCCTCCATCCGAGCACACCCGTTAAACCCATTAAACCCTTAACCCTATGGACATCCTTATGTTCCCACCCTCCCGTAGCCCATACGTCAGTGTGGAGTGGCTTCGGCCGGGGCTGCAGTCTTATACGGTGCTACAGTTCGGGGTATCCATGGCCACCCCGTGTTCCTTCTCTCCGAAAAAACCCATTCGTCGGTGTGGGGTGGCCTCAGCCCCCCCCTTGTTCCCACCCTCCCATAAACCCATGTGGTTGTGTCATTGTGCCTTCATGTTGTCGCGTTGTCGTTCTATTGTCATTCGTAAGTACTATCTCCACTGCTCTGTCAACCTTCCTGCTGTGGGGAGCAGTCTGTTGTCCGAGAATCAATGTATAGTGGGAGCTGGCTTCATCTTCTGTCTCCAGGGAGTAATCCCCTCTGCTACTCCTCCAGTGGGAAGTGCCTGCTTGGCCGGCCTTCTGCGAAGAGAGTGGGGAGCGGGCGTGGTCGGGGAGGGAGGGGAGGGAGGGTAGTGGGGCAGGATTGAGGGAGGGTTTGGAGAGGTCCAGGAGGGGAGGAGGGTTTGGAGATGTAAGGGGGATGTCAGGCCGGAAGAAGGATGAAGTTGGTCGGTTGGAATGGGAACTGAAAATGGCTTCTTGGTAATCGTTCCCATTGTGATTCCGTCAGCATCCACTGTTTCCATCACAACTGGTTATCTTGATCCAATTCGCAGACTTTTTCTGCACTGTTCTGCTCCCACAAGATTGTTGCCATTCAAGAGAGAGAGAGAGAGAGAGAGAGAGAGAGAGAGAGAGAGAGAGAGAGAGAGAGAGAGAGAGAGAGAGAGAGAGAGAGAGAGAG